ATAATTTTAAACTTTATTTAATTAATAAGTTTTATTAATAAAAATTAATATATGTATTTTACATTAAATTTTGATTTTTCTGTCCGAGAATCTTCTAATCTAAAGATATAAAAGCATTTTCATCCTTGTTCTCTATAAACTAGCAATTATTTTCTAATAATACTATGGTCATTTATAACCCATATATAGCTTTTTTAGTTCAAAAGCATTATTTATATTTCGTACTACAATAAGTACATACATGAATAATACGCAAATAATTATCATCATCATGGTGGAAAGAAATATTCCACTATGATATTTATGACATACTCGAGCTTCGATATTGATTATATAGGGAGGGGATTATATAGCTCGACAAATTTTAAATGCGAGAAACGGATACCAACAAACACTACCTAGCGGCAGTTTTGCAAGTATTCAGTGACAACACTGATGATAATATACTGACTGCGCAGATCCTGTTCAATTTTTGCCGACAATTTGACGATAATAATAACTGCGTTTGAAAAATCTGCTCAATTTCTGCTGCCAATATGCTGTCAGATTGCATTGCACAGATCCTGCTTGGTTTCTGCCGCCAATGTATAATTAGAATTTATTAGTAACGTCTGCTCGATTTCTGTTGTTTTATGCCAATTTATATATACTGGCATAAAACGTTAATAGATTCTATTAGATTTCTAGCAATAGTTTGCCAACATCGTCAAATATTACTGAGACTGTATGAAATCTGTTGCCTTTCTGCTATCAAAAATTGATAGCAGATTCTGTTCAAAATCTGTCTTTGCACAGACTTGGCTATCTTATTACATTATATTAATATATTGAAATAGCGTATGCATCTTTCAAGCGAGAATTTTCCTCTATCTGTCTTCTATATTTGCATTTTGATTTTAGAGAATCTCAAACAATTTTCTTTTAATTTAAGAATTATTATTCTCATAACATTGACAACAACTTATTATGTCTAAATAACATTTTTCTAACAAGTAAAAGTTATATTAATTTACTGAGATTATTCCGCAGATCTGCATTATAAATTTCTATCTTTATTGTGTATATTATATATGTATATTTAGATCAACAGTCTAATTTCGCGAAGGCACGTGAAGGGGAGACCACCGCTTATGGTGTGGCTTACGATTATTACAGCGTGATGCATTATTCATTATACGCGTTTGCCATAGATACCAACGAAAAAACCATTATTCCAAAGGTAAGTAATTTAATTATTGATGTTGATTCTTTTGTCAGAGTAGTTTAATTAATTCTGGACGAAAGTAGATACCCGATACCGGTTCACTATTTTTAAAATAAAAATGATTATTCACATTTGCAAGTAATACGTCATGCATCCAATTGTATATGTACGAGTATATTATATATATATCTGTGTTATGTATGTTTAATTTAAGCATATATAAGAATAATTTTTGTAATGGCACTGGAATAGTAATTTTTTAAATGTTTCAGAAACAAGTAGATGAAAAAGTAATCGGCGAGAGAGCGAATCTGAGCGACTCAGACCTTATAAAGATCAAGAAAATGTACAAATGCTAATTTATGCGCGTAATTAGCGTTTATGTCAAAGATTAGTTATTGATGATGAAAATGGCTTTGATAATGGCTTTCTCTATTAAAAAGAAATTCTAAATTAGAAATGTTTAATAAAAAATGTATGTGTTACGGAAAAGTAAAAAATATTTGACTTTGTATAAAACCATTGTTAAATATTAATATAATCTTGATTAAGTATTATAATATAATAAATGTACTTATGCCTTTTGTGTGCAAATGTACGTATTGTAATAAATATATAATAATAAGTGCAGCATCATATATTTTTGTAATAAGTTTTCTTTTCCTATCACCTTTATTAAAGATTTTTGTCTAATTGGACAAATTTTAAGAATTTCAAAAATGAAGGATAAGATATTTTATTAAATAAAACTGATTGAAGAATGTTATGTATCTTAATCCGACGATATATCTTCATCGAAATTTGAGATTATTCTTTACTTGTACATGAATTTCTGTAATTTGTAATCGCAAAAGATATAATAATTATAAAAGATGGTTATTATAAAAGATGAAACAATACCAGAAAGTATATCAAGAAAATTATAAAATCATAGCTTTCCTTCTAATAATTTTGTTGTTTATGTGAATATGGAGTTAAGGAATATAGGTATATTTTCCAAAATATTAAATATAACATATTTACATTATCTGTATCTTTACATTATCCTTGGTCTTTTCGTGTGAAAAGTTGCCCTAATAGCCAAGTTGTCTTGTTTGCTATCATATTGCCGAAAACAAATTAATAAATTTCAGTAAGAACAAGATAAGTGAGCCATTTGGCTCTGAAACAATATCATTCCTCTTCAAAATGTGTTGCTCTCAAAATTCTGTGGAAATGCTATGGAAATTACTGACTAGGCCAAGTTGGCTTAAACAAATGAAATGGCAAAAGTTTTCCATCGGCAGACATTTTGCTGACAATAGAATTTACAGAATAAGCAACAGTTGCATTCAGTTTGTTCTGAATATTGACAAAATAAAGTGTTTCAAAAATGCTCAAAAATATTGCCGAATGTATAATAATATATAATATGGTATAATAATGTTTTGTAAACAAAATCGTAATTTAACATTTATTGACCATTACTTCATCTCCACTTCTTTTACATTAATGGTTCTGATAATTATTTTCCTTGCGTCCTGATAATTTAAATTGGACGATTTAAATTCGAACTTATAATAATCGTGTGTCGCAATGACTTTCATTTCAATTTATCGCAATACATATTGCATATAACGAACAATAAAAGTAAAATAATTTTTAGTATTTCTCAACATCTAGATATTCTTTATTTTTTCACAAATAATCGACATTTTTTGAACTGCGATTAAATTTAGTCTAAGCATAGCAAAATATAATACGATATTATAATATAATAACATCTTTTACATACATACTGCTACGTTTTGTGAAGCATAACAATACAATAGACTGTATTAAATTAATAAACAATTTTAAAAATTCTGTAGATATATCATTTTATCATAGCCGGAAATACTATTACTATCCTGCTAATGAATTAAAAAATTATAAAATAAATAGTATTTAATGTTACAAAGATGCAGCAAAACCGAATGTATTACAGATATACAAATATTTGCATAATATTTTAAATAAAAAATTATCCTTATTTTTTCTTTGTATGCCAAATTATTCTTATTTTTATATGTCTTTTCAAAGTTTTATGTATTCATGCATTACAAGTCACTTTTTTAAATCATTAGTTGCCCTTGAAGCTTCATTTATTGTCAATAAACGTTTTTGTTTTGTACGTAAGAATATAATTAGGTTCTGTTTCGCAACAACTCAATTTTATTAAGTATTAGGGTTATTTAAAAAATTACAAGGACGTCGTTACATTTATGCTTTTAATGTTCAATAAAGTGCAGGTAATGATACTGTAATATTAGAAATTATGATGCTAATGTTCATTAATTGCGTCCTATTTAGAAACTAAATTAATGAAAATTAAAAATTTCCGTGTGTATTATATAAAGAAAGTGCATATATACGTGAATGTCATACATACATAAAAATTATATATAAGGAATTAACTAATAAGTGTGATATGTTCAATTACCCGTTTATAAAACAAAGTTTGTGTTTATTTCGAATTTTTAATAACGTTATACTATTATTATGTAATTTAGTTATTTTAATCATTATATGCAGCATCAATAAGTGAGGAATATTTCAGAAAAAGTTATGTTTGTAGCATTTACATAATTATGTTTTTAATAATTGATTAAATGCCGCACAGTTTTATTTTTAAGAATATATACGTTTAATATATGAGCTACGTATTTTACTTTTATAGATAACAATGCTGATAAAAACTAATAAAAACTAAGACAAATCTCTAAATAATACTCAAATATTTAACCACGATACTTCCGACAAAAAGATATTCAAAAACTCCAACAATATTGAACTATAATGTATAATATCAATAAGAATGCAATATCGGTTCGTTTAATAAAATTCGAGTCAAACGAATGTTTTATCTATTGTTTTCCATTAGTAGCGCATGTACATAGAAAATGTATAAATTACAAAAAATTGTATGCCAATTATAATTATTGCTAAGTAATATTGAATATCATCCACGCATCAATTTTGACTGCCCGATAAAAGCGATGAGGTCACGTAAGTGGGCCGCGAAAATGTTTGCGATGGAATGTATATAAAGGGAAACATTCGGCGATTGTGCTGCATTCGTTTTCGTCGTTATAAGTCTATAGGACCATAGGCAAAACGGTAACTGGCTATAATTTAACGTCAATTATGATTTGTCGATTGTTAATCACTTTCGCGTGGACGCTTTCCGTCTTCGCAATATTTGCGTCGGCGATCCCTTACACAAGGGATACTAAGGAGATGCCCATGATGGTTCCGGACAAGGAAACAGGAGCTCGGGTAGCGAAATGGACCAAGGAAATGAATGTAAATCCTGAGGAATTGGGCGGCTATTTTGAAGGAGACATTATGCTCATCAAAAACACTAATAGAAACGGACTTAAAAATGAAGCCACACGTTGGCCTAATCGCGTTGTTCCCTACAAAATCAGTGGTAACTTCAGTAAGTATTTTTGAGACAAAAATTTTAGTCACATTTTATGCTGCAATTCTTCAAAATTAATTGTATTTTGTAATATATCATGAAAGAGAAATTTAATGTGCATTAATAAATCTAAATTCAGATACTAGATACTATTTTATTAGAATTGAATAGTTCTCATGAAGGTCTTTGATGCATTTCACGTAGTCCAGTAATATTAAATTAGATACATAACTAATAAATAATCAAGAATACCAAATTACAATTGAAATTTTATACAATTGAATAATTGAATCTATTGAATAAATAAGTTCCTACAACTAAAAATGGAATAATGCACTTATTATCATCTTGAATCTTAATTTCATTTGACAGTTAAAATATAAATTGAATAAAATTAAGCGCCTCGATATAATATTGAAGAAATAATGATGGTTATTATTGCAGTCAAAATTGTTTTCTTTCTATTATTTTTTCACATTTTCAATTGCAGATAAAGATCAAAAGAACCTTATACACAATGCAATGAAAGCCTATCACAATTATACATGCATCAGATTTAAACCGCAGCGAAAGGAAAAGAATTATGTCAACATCATTAGTGAGAACACTGGGTGCCATAGTAATATTGGCAGGATTGGCGGTCAACAAATAGTAAACTTACAGATTCCTGGTTGTGTAACATTGATAGGTACCGCGATACATGAGCTCATGCACGCCCTCGGTTTTTTTCATGAGCACACCAGAGAAGACCGAGATGATTACGTGGATATCATTTGGAATAATATTCAAGAACGTATGTATTCGCAATCTATTCAAGTTAAGAATTTAAATAAGAGAAATATAACTTTTTTAAATAAATACATAGTCTGTCCCAAAAGCAATGAGATTATTTTTGGGGGCCTAATCAGAATTGTCGGGGAGTAGATCCATGGAACAGGGCCTTTGTTGAGGGATGTCAGGTATACAATTTGACCCTTCTTAGTTGCCTCCGAGCCTTTTTAGCATTCGATACCGCCAGCAAAGTACGTTGTAATAAAAAAATTCAGCAGTCTCGAGTAGCAATCAAATTCTGCGTAAAACAAAAAATCTAGTTCCGTAACATGTTGAAGACGTTGAGAACAGCTTATGAAGGTGCTGCTTTGTCTTCAGAATTTGATCACGTAACGCTGCTTAAAACACAGCACAGTCTGTACTGTAATTGAGTTTTCGCCCGTAACAAGACAAAAATTACAACGCACTTTACTGACGGTATCAACTACTAGAAAGGCTCGATGGCAACTGGAAAAAGTCAGACTGTATACCTGATATCCCGCATCAAAGAACCCGTCCAATGCATCCACTTCCGACAATTCTGATTGGGACACCAAAAATAGTCTTATTACTTATGAAATAGACCATGTATTTAGTCGAGGCATATATTTTTAACATCAACTATAACTTTGCAATTAATTTATCAATAAAATGATAAGCATTTATAAAGCTGGCATTGTTTTGTGCATTATATATCTTTTTTTTTAACGAGATTTTCTTCTGTTTATGTTCTTCTGTTTATGGCTTGAGACCTATGTCTTAATATGGGCGATTCCTTATATAAAAATAACACTTTACTGACAGTACGCCGCAATAATTGATTAAAATTATTTTGCTGGTCTGCATTATAAACTTTCATTTTTATCCTGTGCTTTATGTGTCCAGCTACCAAAGGTAATTTCGTGAAAGATACGCCGGGGACTGCCGACTCTTTCAATACGTCTTACGATTATGGCAGCGTGATGCACTATTCAGCATACGCGTTTGCCATAGATAAGGAAGAGAAAACCATTGTGCCTACGGAAGTAAGTTATCATTATTTTTATGAATGTTCTTTACATTGTTAGTTTATCAATATGTTTATCAATATGCATTACTAGATCAGTTATTATTATCTACAGAAGTATATTCGAGATACCCCACCGTTTCATCACTTTAATATAGAAGAAAAATTATAATTATAATTGATAAAAAAAAAATAATGTATCCCCTAATTCTCAGACATAATAAAACAATATAATTAATATCCTACAATGTAACACACACTGATAGAACTTCCATAATATATTAGTGATGCCAACTGAATTACTATTACTTACATCGAAACATTAACTGTTATGCATATTCATACATGATTCGTATTCTTAGGCAGCCTTACTCTACATAAGAATAATTTTCGTAATGGTACCGAAATCTTATTGTTGAAAATTTTCAGGATCCAGACGCAGAAATCGGCCAAAGAGAGGGCTTTAGTGAAGGCGATATTAAAAGAATCAACACAATGTACAATTGCGCCTAATGTCGGCGTAATCGGCATTTACCGGCCGCAGACGTCTGATGTATTGATAAATGGATACGACTTTGATAATGTTTTTATGTATTAATAAGAAATTCTAAATTAGAAATATTTAACATTCACGCATACTGTGTATAAATACACTACTATGTTTTCTTTTCTGCAACTGGTGAATGTAATCGGCATTTTATTATGTATTTATGTAATTGTTATTAAATATTACAATATTGTAAATGTACTTGTGCATCTCATGTGTACAAATGTACATATTGAATATAAATATAATACGTGCATCATATTTTTTATGGAAAGTTTTTACTTTTTACCATTTATAATCCTATGTCATATTATATGTTGTCAATTTCATATTGCTTTTTGATTAGTATAACCCGATCACATTATGTAATTACAGAAGCACTTACTTTCCGCATAATGCAATATATTATATTAAGATGGAATAAAATGCCCTTTTCATATATCATATATGGGAAAGAGCTATCTTCAAATTGCTATATTTTGAAAATAAAAAAATCATAAAACAAAGAGCATTTTATATAAGTATAAAACAAAGAATAAAGCTAATAGTTGATACTTATGCGTGGCATTAACGAAATTGCAAAAAATGTGATGTAAGTGCTACAATAAAACCTTCAAAATCATGATTTTTTTCTCTTAAACGTGTTTTTTTTCAAAATTGTGATATGATAGCCAAATTTAGATAACAGATTTATGTGGCAACAATTATAGGCAAAAATACATTAGAAATGATTATTCGCGCAAGTATTGCAAAAAAAGATAAAATTTTGCTAAACGATGCTATTTCGAGTCACTCGACAAAAGCGATAAGCTCGTGTGCATGCAAGTAGGGTATGAAAATTTTTGCGATGTTACGTATAAAAGAAGTAGAACAGTCATATAACTGCATTTGCGTTTGCCGTCATAGAACTACAAGTAAATAGGTAATTTTGTAATTTAATTTAATGTTGATCGTATTTTATCGACTGTTCACTTTCGCGTGGACGCTTCTTGTCTTTGCAATATTTGAGTCGGCAGTGGCGATTTCTTACGTAAGAAATACTGAAGAATGGTACAAGACGGTACCAGATCACGAAACAGGAATCAAAGTAGCACTATGGACCAAGGAAATGAATATAAATCCTGAGGAATTGGGCAGTTACTTCGAAGGAGATATCATGATTACAGGAAACACCAAAAGAAACGGAGACACTAATGAAAACCTCCGTTGGTCTAATGGCATTATTCCCTACATAATCGCTGATCATTTCGGTAAATATTTTCGAAAAATGAAGATTAATCATGCTGTACTATGTAGTTTTTACGAAATCAATTGTGTTTCATAATACATTTACCAGTTGTATTTATAAGTGGAAGGTTTAATATTTTTAATGAAATTAAATTCTTACAATATCTTGATATTATTTCATTGAAATTGGATAAAGATTATCAGTACATTTTACGTCACTGTGACAAATGTTTATCTATTTACTTTATTATGTTATGTATTAACGTGCTTTTAAATGGTTTGGATATATTTAAGATGTTGCGATTATATGTGTTAAGTTTTATTTGTACTGGATTTGACGTCATTGCAGAAAGTTTCCACTACAATTAAAAAATAATTATGAGATTATGTTTTTAAATACACAAAATAATTGAAGTAGATTTAAAAGAATAATGCAATTATTACTTTTATTTTAACTTGTTATTTTATACATTAACAAAATATAAAAATTAAACTACGTAAGTTTAAATACTCATCTGAGTGTTCAAAAAAGAACAAAGATTTTTCTATACTCAAATTTTTTAAATCATGTTTGTTTATAACTCTTTGTTACAGATGACAATCAATTGGAACTTATAAATGGTGTGATGGACGATTATTTTAATCGTACATGTATTACGTTTGTACTGAGAACGGATGAAGAGGATTATATCAACATCGTTAGCGATAATACTGGATGCTCGAGCAACATTGGCAAGATTGGCGGTGAACAAAAAGTACACTTACAGATTCCTGGTTGTGTAACATTGAGAGGCACCGTGATACACGAGCTCTTACACGTCGTCGGTTTTTGGCATGAGCACACCAGAGAAGACCGTGATAATTACGTGCATATCAATTGGGATAATATTGAAGAAGGTACGTATATTGCAATCTATTTAAATAAAGAATTTTAAAAAATAAGAGAAATATAACTTTTTTAAATAAATATTTAATCAAAGCATACGTACATCTTTTTAATATTAATTAATTGTGCAATTAATTTATAAATCAAAATAATAGACATTTGGTTTAAGAACTATTATGGCTAAATATTAAACAAGCCATTCCTTATATAAAGATAACACTTTACTAATAGTACGTTGCAATAATTGATTGAAATTATTTTTCTAATCTATATTAAAAATTTATATCTTTATTGTGTATAGAAACAAAGAAAAATTTTGTTAAGAATGATCCGGGGGTTACTTACACTTATGGTGTTCCTTATGATTACGGTAGCGTGATGCACTACTCAGCATACTCGTTTGCCAAAAACAATACAATAAAAACCATTATTCCTACAAAAGTAAGTAATCATTATTTTATTCTTATATCTATACGTCGTAAGACGATTGAGGATTGAGTCCTCTATTAAATCAAGTAGTTTAATTGCTGGACGAAGTAAAATTTCTGGATATAAACTACCAATTTGTTATTCTGAAATGATGGCATCAAAATCTTATTGTTGATATTTTTCAGGATCCAAACGCATTAATTGGTCAGAGACAGGGATTTAGCGACTCGGATATTCTAAAAGTCAATAAAATGTACAATTGCATCTAATAGTTACATAATTGACTGCATTTATGTCAGAGATAGTACTATATTAAATGGATACAGTTTGACAATATCTTTGTATTTCAGAAAATTCTTAATTAGAAATATTTAATAAAAATTTTTGTGTATCAATCATAAAAAAACCGAATATTTAGCATAAAACGCATAAGAATTCCTTCTTCCAAATCAGTTATTCGATTAATATTATTATATTATTAAAATATAATCATTATTTATATCGTACTCGTAAATTCTTTTTCTTTTCTAATGTAATCAATATTTTTTGTACTATAATCAAATCTAGTCTAATTGTAAGCATAACGATGAAATATTAATATAGATACAACGAAATCAAATGTTACAGATAATATTGCATGCATAATTTGTGAAAAAAAAGGTATTGAGGTTGTTCAACATGTCGTTTCTGAATTTTGCACATTCACGTTTGTTTTTTTTTATCATTATTCGTCCTTGGAGTTGTATCAACTTTAAATAAGTTTTTATCTAATGCGAGTATATAATGAGGCTTTATTTGCTGACAACGAAACTTTTTAGATACTAGAATTATTAGTAAAATTAAGGATGTCATTGAATGTTATATTTTTATTGTGCAATGAAATACGCGTAATGATAGCGTATATCTTACAGACTATTATATTGTTAAATGTGTATGTGCGTGCGCTTCCTCTTTTAAAAAATTATTGTAAATTTTTATTTAAAATTATTATAATGTTTATGAAAAATAAAAAAGAAGCATTTACAGATATTGTATTTACATAAGTATAACAAATAATTTAATATATAATTTAATATTTATAATATAAACAATTAATAAATTCATAAATGAGAAATCTTAAATTACCTTATTACATATTTTATATGTTTCTTATTTATTCTTATAATGTTATCATATAATTTAATTATTATATTAATTATTTTTATGTGCAGCATTAATAAATAATATTTTTACAAAAAATGAAATATGTTTAGTAAATTTAAATTACGTACAAATGTTTTAATACTAAATTTAATATGATTTATAATGATATTTAATATAATTTATTAAATGCAATTTAAAAGGGTTTTCTACTTTGGATATAAAAATCGATATATTTATTCCTTTAATAGTTCAATAAAAACCTCTTATAAAACTGAAGCATACATAAGACAAAGAGATCAAACCCGGAACCTGTTGTCTATTAATTAATAGTTCTTATACGGAAGCCATACGTCATTCCCTAACATGATACGATTATTAGCCATACAGAAGCGATAAACTCATCCGCATAGGACGTGGAAACATTGCGATGTTATGTATAAAAGGGAAGCGATCAGAATGGTTGCATTACTGCAGTAACTCTTGCTGTCAATAGGACCGTAGGTAAATAGGTAATTTGCTACAATTTGATTTAACGTCGATCATGGCTTGTCAACCGTTAGTCACTTTCGCGTGGACGCTTCTCGTCCTCGCAATGTCTGAGTCGGCGGGAGCGATCCCTTACACGAGGAATACTAGAGAATTGCCCATGATGGTTCCGGACAAGGAAACGGGAGCCAGGGTAGCAAAATGGACCAAGGAAATGAATGTGAATCCAGAGGAATTGGGCAGTTACTTCGAGGGAGACATCATGATCACAAGAAACACCAAAAGAAACGGAGCGACTGATGAATCTCTCCGTTGGCCTAATTGCGTCGTTCCCTATGAAATCAATGGTGATTTCGGTAAGTATCTTGAAGAAAGGAAATTTAGCTGTACAGTACCGTAACTAGTTATCTTTACGCCCGGTACGAGTTCAAGATTTTGCGCCTCCCTGCCCGCCATTCCCAGACTCACGATTGCGCCACTCCTGACAATTGTGCACGATGCGGCGGCACCGACAAAACACTCTAGTTACAGCATTGTAATCTTACCGCCAGCAAACATTTTCAAAAGTTGTTCCGCTTTATAAATGTTTTTAAATGAATTTTTAATTTTAACGCCAGCACGGTACTTCATGAAAATGTGTCGTGCTGATAAATTTCGATACTTCTGACGGTAGTTCTCGCCTGTTTCGATCAATTTATACGCGAGGATATCATTTCCAAAAATTGTTTCGCCTTATAATTGTTTTCAAAGCAATTTTTATTTTACCGCTAGCACAACACTTCACGAAAATGTGTAGTGCTGATAAATTTCGATACTTCTAGCAGTAGTTCTCGCTTGTTTCGATCAATTTATACGCTAGAGTATTATTTCCAAAAATTTTTTTGCCTTATAAACGTTTTTAAAGGAATGTTTAATTTTACCATCAGCACGACACTTCACGGAAATGTGTCGTGCTGATAATTTTCAATACTTGTGGCCATAGTTCTCGCTTGTTCCAATTAATTTTTATGCGAGCGAATCATTTTTTAAAGTTGTTCCGCCTTATAAACATTTTCAAAGCAATTTTTAATTTTACTAATGTCAAAACTACTTATCTTTGCGTCTGGTGCAAGTTCTGCAAAATTTTTGCGCCCTTCTTTCCCCAGACTCCTGATTGCACCTCCCTTGACGATCGCGCCCGATACGGCGATACTGACGGCACTGCCCTATTTACGGTACTGATTCTGTACTCTATAGTTTATATTTGTTGATTAATTACATTTTGTAATACATTTACCAGTTATATTTACGAAAACAAAATTTAATATGTATTAATAAAATTAAATTCTCATGATAGTATCACGAAATTAAGCCGAGTAAAGATCAGTGTATTTTACGTAACTGTTCAAAAATATTTATCTACTTAGTTTAAATTTACTTCATTACGTTAATATGCTCCTGAAAGGTTTGGACATGTTTTGGAATGTTTTGATTACATGTTCTAAGTTTTACTAAATTTGATGTCATTGCAATAATTTACTTACTCTTAATTTATTGTTTTATTTATTTATTAAAATATAAACTTTAAAAAATTGAATGCTTTAGTATTTTCCTGAATGTTCAAAAAAAGAATACAAATTTTTTTGAAGTTCAATTTTTTTTAAATTCAATTTCTTTTATAAATTTTTCATTGCAGATGACAATCAAATGGCTCTTATACAAGCTGCGATGGACGACTATTCTCAGTCCACGTGCATTAAGTTTGTACCGAGGACGGCGAGGACAGATGAAGAGGATTATGTCAGCATCACTAGTGAAGACACTGGGTGCCATAGTAACATTGGCAGGATTGGCGGTGAACAAATAGTAAACCTACAGATTCCTGGTTGTGTAATAAAGAAGGGTACCGTCATACATGAGCTCATGCACGCCATCGGTTTTTGGCACGAACACACCAGAGAAGAGCGTGATGATTACGTGGATATCAATTGGGATAATATTCAAGAAGGTATGTATTCGCAATCTATTTAAGTTAAAAATTTAAAATAAAAAATAACTTTTTAAAATAAATATTTTATCAAAGCGTGTACACACGTTACACATGTATCTTTTTAATGTTAACTAACTTTGCAATTAATTTTTCGATATCGATAAAATAATAATAGACATTTAATTAAGAAACCGATAATGTTTATGTATACATATATACAGTTTATATATTTCTTCGTGAAAATTTGTTATGATTTTCTTTCGTCTACGGCTTAAAAATCGTTAATCTGAATATTAAACGGGCAATTTCTACTTGTACAAAAATAACTAATACTTTACTGACAGTACATTGCAATAATAGATTAAAATTATTCTGCTGGCATGCATTAAAAATTTCTATTTTTATTATACATCTAGAGGCCACGGGAAATTTTGTTAAAGTTAGCCCGGGACAGACTACCGCTTTCGGAGTTCCTTACGATTACGGCAGCGTGATGCACTACACTGCGTACGCGTTTGCCAAAGACGACAGTCAAAAAACCATTATCACAAAAGTAAGTAACCATTATTTTTATAAAGGTAAACCGGTTGACTACTTTATTAGAGTAATTTAATTGCTGGACGGAAGTAGATACGAGTTACCGAATTATCATCCTGAAATAGGGAAGTGCAATTATTTTATAATTTAGTTATGCATGAGCTATCAAATTGTACAATATCCATGTATGTGTTTTCTAGATTTTATTATTGAAAATTTTCAGGATCCAAACGCAGAAATCGGCCAAAGAGAGGGCTTTAGTGACTCCGACATTAAAAAGATTAATACGATGTACCAGTCTGCTTAATATTGACATAATGAATTTATGTCAGGGATCAGTTCTACGGCGAATGGCTACAGTTTGGCGATATCTTTGGACTTGAGAAAGATCTTAATTAAGAATATTTAATAAGAATATTTTTATTATAAAAGAAAAACAGATATTTAGTATAAAGCATATATGAGAATTTTTTCTTGCAAAACCTGTTATTGATTAACAGGATTATTATGTTATTATAACTATTATATATTATCATATTAAAAATGTTTTTACATCTCGTATGTAAAATTATATATTATAATAAATATATATAAGTGCAGCATTATATTGTGTGTGAAAGTTTTCTTCTTTTTATCATCTTCCTTGAACTATTTTCCTTAAACTTTCATATTAAATAAATACCAAGATATATCAAGGAATAATGTCTTGATATTTATTTAATATGAAAGTTTAAAAAAAAATTAAGAAATAAAAATATGTACGCTAAGAATTTTTATTGGATATTATTGGGAGTATATTACGTATACAAACTGGCAATATGTCTCCAAAATTTTTAAAATACTTTTTGGTAAACTTTTCTTTATTTGTATATTCTCTCATATGTGATTTTTACAAGAGAACACATTATAACCATTGCGGCAGTAAGATTTCTTACTCTATTTCTGACGTAAACATGATGAGTAGAAATGATAGGCTTTAAAATTGTTTCGAAGAAAAGCAAAATTCAATATCGCAAGAGAAAACTGAATGTTATAATTTGTGGAAATAAAAAAGTTATTGAAATTATTCAACATGTCTTTTCTGAATTCTATGTATATACACGTACGTATACATCATTTTCTTATCATTGTCCGTCCTTGAAATTGTATCTACTGTAAATAACAGCTTTTAGACAGTTTGTAAGAATATATTTCATTTAATAACAATAGAATTTTATTGTAGTTGTTGAGTATTATTGGTTCATTAAAAAAATTACAGAGATACGTCCTAATCGTCGCATTTTTTGTCTCTATTGTACAATATGGAGAATGGTAACGATAATTTCGATATTAGATACACTATCGTAAAGTATTAAGATTCATTAATGAATTTTTAGAAAAATTATACCAAAAATTAAAAATTATCAAATGTATGTTACATAAACAAAGAAGCATTTTAGATGTCATACATTCATATAAGTATAATGATAATAAATACATACAAAAGTTTTTAAATAAACAATCATTAACACAAATTAAATTGAGAGAAGGCCAATACGATCACATAGCAGGATCTTGGTGCTTCTAATATTTCTATGTGATTTTACACACATATTCTAATTTTAAAACAAACATTTATTAAGCTCATATTAATGAGGAATTATTAAGTATTATGCAATTCTTTGTTTATTATTTATTTATTTTTGCAATGTTATATTATCAAATAATTATTATATTTATTATTTTATAAATAGCATTATTAAGTAATAAATATTTTACATAAAGTTATATTTGTTAAGTAAATGCGCACAAAATTATATTTTTAATGTTATTTTAATATTGCAGTTTAATATTTTATTTTTAATTTTATATTTACTATTCAATTGTTAATTAAAATTTAAGATATATACATTAATTATTTTAACAAATAAACTCAAAAATTATATAAATTACAATACATAAATATCTTACCACAATATTTCATGACAATAAAACTATATAATCCAGAAACACTAAGGCAATAACACACACAAACTATAATAATTCTATAATAACAATACAATCCAATTATTAAATGGATTCGAATCAGTCAAATCCATGTCTTATCTGTAATTTTCCATCAGTAATATGTACATAAAAAATACATAAATAAAAAGAGGATTGTGTACCAATAATTATTATCGTCATAAGATCGTCGATGTTACTGAATGTCATCCTTGGTGTGATACGGCCACTCGATAAAAGAGATAAGCTAATGCGCGTAAGTGGGGCGTGGAAATTTTTATGATGTTATGTATAAAAAAAAAACATTCGGAATGGCTGTATTACTGCATTTACTTTTGCCGTCATAGGTAAATCAGTAACTTGCTGTAATCCGATTTGACATCAAGCATGCCGTGTCAACTGTTAATAACTCTCACGTTGATGCTTCTCATCTTAATAATATTTGAGTCGGTGGCAGTGCCTTTCACAAAGAATGTCGAGGAATGGCCCAAGAAGATTCCAGACAAGCAAACGGGAGCTAGGGTAGCGCTGTGGACCAAGCAAATGAATGTGAATCCTGAGGAATTGGGCAGCTACACGGAGGGAGACATCATGGTCCCAAGAATCACCAAAAGAAACGGAGTGACCGATAAACTTCTCCGTTGGCCTGATGGCATTATTCCTTACGTGATTACTGGAGATTTCAGTAAGTATCTTCGAGAAAGTAATTATATACTTATATTTTAATATTTCAACCATTCAATAATTCTTCATAACTATTGCATTTTGTAGTACAATCGAACCTCGATAACTTGAATTTTAAGGGAGGAGCTATAAAAATCTTCGAGTTATAGAAATTTCGACTTATTAAAGATTTGAGTAAAAGAGAATTTGAGTAAAAGAGAATTTGAGTAAAAGAGAATTGACATGAAAATTCGACTTACGGAAGCTTTGTACGAGAATTTATAATTTTCCGATTATGATGGCTTTTAAAGGAAAAAATTCGAATGTTTTTTGAGTTGTAGAGGTTCGAGTTATTGAGGTTCGACACTGTACATTTACTATATGTAAGAAAAAGAAGTTTAATACATTAATTAATGAAATTAAAGCAAAATATTATAATATTTAATAATATAATATTTTAATATTATTTTATTGTTATTATTAAATTGACTTAATTTTATTAATTAATGTATTAAACTTTTCATTAATTCATTAATTAATATACTTTATTAATTAATGTATTACACTCCGTATTAAAATATTATTTTATTGTTATTATTGAATTGAATTTAATTTCATTAATTAATGTATTAAACTTCTCTTTCGTACATATAGTAAATGTACAGTCAATAAAATAATATTTTAATATTATTTTATCGTGTAAAGATTATTAGTACCATACGTAAAAAAATCTTTTATTATTTTTGTTTATAAATATTATAAACAAAAATATTTTTATCGCAGATGACGATCAACTGCAACTTATAAGCGCTGCAATGGACAACTATTTTAATTTCACATGTATTCAATTTGTACCGAGGACAAATGAAGAGGATTATATTAACATCAGTAGTGATGAGACTGGATGCTGGAGCTACGTTGGCAGGCAAGGCGGTAGACAAGAGGTGAACTTGCAGACTCCTGGTTGTCTATATGAAACAGGTACCGTAATACATGAGCTTATGCACACCGTCGGCTTTTGGCACGAACACACCAGAGAAGATCGAGATGAATACGTGGATATCAATTGGGATAATATTAAAGAAGGTACGTTTTCGTGATCTATTTCAAGTAAAGAATTCAAAATAAGAGAAAATATACCTTTTTCAAACAAACATTTAATTAAATCGTATTTATCTTCTTAACGTTAACTAACTTTGCTATTAATTTATCGATTGAAATAACAGGCATTTATGAAATCGGTAATTTTTTGTCTATTAATCTCTGCAGTTTTCATTATCTCTTCATAAAAATTTCAAATGATTTTCTTTCAGCTTCTCTTTCTTCTTCTTTCTTCTTTCTTGTGGCTTATAAGAATTATTAATGCCATAACATTAAATAGGTGATTCCTTATATAAAAAAAAATAACATTCTACTGACAGTAAACGCTGCAATAATTAATTGAAATTATTCTGCCGATTTGCATTATAAATTTCTGTTTTTATTGTGTGCATCATGCATCCAGAGGCGTGGAAGAATTTCGCTAAAGCTGACCCGGGAGTTCTCTACAATTATGATGTACCCTACGATTACGGAAGCGTGATGCACTACACTGCGTACGCGTTTGCCAAAGACAACAACGAAAAAACCCTTATCACAAAAGTAAATAATTCATCATTTTTGTAAACGTAAGACTACTTTATTGGAGTAATTACTCGGACGGAGGTAGATACGAGCTACCGAGTCGTCATTTTGAAATAGAAAAGTGCAATTATTTTATAATTTCATAAGTTTTGCTTGCTGCATCGAATTATACAATATCCATGTACGTCCTATTTTTTACTTATATATAAAAATAATTTTTGTGACACTAGAATCTTATTGTTGAAATTTTCCAGGATCCAAATGCGTCGATTGGCCAGAGAGAGGCATTTAGCGAGTCAGACATCCTAAAGATCAATAAAATGTATAATTGTGTTTAATATAAGCATAATAGCAATTTTTCTTATCAAAATATAAGCTTCTTATCAAAAGTTTCTTTTTAGTTGATCATATACCAACTAACGATTGATTTTTAAAATTTAGAAAAGTAATATTTTCCACGCGGAGAAAATGTAAAAATTGTTATTTGTAAAAAAATTGTATTTCAAATTGATGTTCCAAAACAGATATGAGGTGTTGAAAATATTCTTTATTTATATATCATTACGAGCGATTCGTAGAATACACTGCGGCAATGTACTATTTACAGTATAACGAAGTTTCTTACTCTATTTATTTTCGGTGGAAATGCAGATGGAGATCGCAATCGGACGGTTTGCTTATTTATAATTTTGAAAATACAATCTCCGGAAAACTATAACGAAACAAACTTATTGTTAGACATACGATATATCGAATGCGTGTAAAGTAAATTTTGAATTGTCAGATAATTAGAAAAGAAAGTAACACAATTTTTTTCAGTAAAGTTATAAAAGTCTTACTAAAATACTCGATGGAACTCTCTCTTTAAATGAATTGTGTAACTTATCGAAACAAATACACATTTTTAAATAATACTCCAAATATTACTCCTTAATTAAGCTAATTAATTAATAATCAAAATTTTACAAAAGAAGAATATAAATCTGCGTTAAGTAAAATGTCTATTACTCATCTACGGTGGGAGATTCGAAGTAACACAACAATCCCCAAGAGAATGGTGTGTGCGTGTACATATGCGCGCGCGCACGCACGTGTTTCGCTTAATTTTTACATTATTAATTTTTTTAAGTATCTAATAATCATTTTATATATATTTTTACTTTCTTACATAAATATTCTACGTTTTTTTTCTAAGCTCCTTTACGATTTCTTTCAATTATTTATCTGTGTGAGAAACACAATGTCTCTTTAGCGAAATGGTAATAGGGCGATGCAATCGAATCGTTTGATTAAACAATTTCGAATCAGCCGATCCAGGTCTTCTTAATGAAGTCCGCCGCTCTTTCACCTGTAACATGTACAATATACATACATAAGGAGAAAAAGATAAAGATAACGAGGTTTACATACCGATCATGATCGCCGGCGCGTTCGTGTTGCCAGACGTCACCTTCGGCATGATGCTCGTGTCGGCCACTCTCACGCCTCGCACTCCTCTGACTCGCAGCTGATTGTCAACCACGGCCATCGCATCGTCTGGCGGTCCCATTTTGCATGATCCCGCCTGATGATTCTCGGGCGCGGTGTCGTGACGAATCGCGCACTCCCAGTAAGCGTCGCAGCCGAACTTGAGATGCTCGCAGTTCTTCACGGGAGTTCGGTCCAGTTCGAAGTTGTACCTGAAAATCATTTCCGCGATGCAAGAAAATAGAGATTAAGATTTTTAAATCATGTTTGTTTATGATAAAAGTGGCCCATGTAAAATGTAACGCGAGTAACAAATCGTCTAAAATAAATTGAAGTAAGAGCCTGCTGCAGGAAATATAGAAATAATCTCGGAAATAATAGCAAAAACAAGAAGATGTATTTGCTTTCCTTCTATCTGGAATTCTCATTTCTCGAAAACGATGCAGCAGCTACGTTCACTATACTCTTCACTCTCCATCCATCGCTGAGAAAACCGCTGAGAATTGAGAAGTTCGTTATACCTTTTGAGCGCCTGGGTCTCCGATAATCGAACGCTGAACTTAACGGCTTCCACGAGAGCGGCCACGTCGTCGGGATGAGTCAGGTATTTGGGGTAGATCAGCGGCTTCGAGAGAGGATCGTTGTTTCGTAAGCGTAGGTAACCGCGACTCTTCGGATGCAGGATAGTCGGGATGACGTAGATGCTGCGGTTCGTGCCCTTCTTCTCGCCCACCATACCAGTCTCCGCGCAATCAGCCAGGTAACCGCCGAAGATTAGCTGCACATCGGGATGATCCTCCCTCGGATCCGCGTACTTAGTGTTTATCATTGCCGTCACCTCGGATATTCCTACAAATCAACGCAATGCTATAAGTATATTCTGTCTCGTTTCGTTTTCAAAAAAATTAATAATGTTAATTTATGTTAATTAATTTATTGTATAAATAATTGTAAATAATTTTGTGTGTATAAAACGATAGTATAATTTTTAAGAATCCCACATCGTTAAAAAAAATTATAGTTTAAAAAAAACTGCTTTTTTCAAATTGGTGGGAAAAAAACAGAAAAATTTCGATTTTTTCCGAAAAATTGCTATGTAAACGATATACTATCTAATTTTTAATATTTTTCATTATATTAAATATGAATTGAGATTCAGAAAGTAATGTAAGTGATTTATTTTAATTTGCTCGTTAAAATGTGTAAATTTTTTATTTAAATTATATAATTTAGATCGGAAGAGCACA